GAATGCTGTGAGATAAAAACATATTTATAACTCGTGATTCATGTGTATGTACATCTGTATACACACACATATAGACACATATTCCCATGCAAACACAAAAACAGTGAAGAGCCAGGAGACCAAACCCGTATCTAAAATATTCTCTAAGATTGCTGCGCAATCATGGTAACACCATCTGTTCCTGTTGACAAGATTTTACAGATGGACTTGATTACTTTTTGTTATTTATTTCTGAATATGGCCTTTAAAGTAATATCTCTGAGGCGTTTTTATTCTGTGGCTCCATGCAAAGATTACAGGGGTCTTTTCTGTCCCCACGTCTCTGTATTCCTTTCGCGCTGAGAATCAAATGTGGAAAATAACAGGTTACAGCTATCCGCTGATAACAGGTTACATGGAGAAAGGGTAGGGAAAARAAGAGGCAAAGTACCATTTTATTAGTCCTGGACTGGCAAACAAGTACTCTTGACCATTTAAAATGATCTTCAGATTCTACAGTAAAAGTTCAAATCACTTGGAATCAGTTCCACAAAAAGCATCTTAATATAAAAATGCTGTGGCTTTTGTTACAGTTTTTTTTTCTAGAGATTTAACAAATTGTTAAATATCCTGAATAGCCTTGAGAGRTTATACACAATAACCCTCTCCTGCAAAAGGCATTGCAAGTAACTGCCACTGGAGCAGATAAAATATCAGTGAGCAAGTGTCAGAGAATAACTCAGTTCTAACTCAGCTGCTAACTCAATTCCCTTCTCAGTGTTATAAGACTTTGCTTTTAAAGTAAGCCTCGTGTTTCAGGAAATACAATAAAACAGAAGAAATACATGCTGTAAACCAACTGAGTTCCTGCATTTATTTCTCGCCTACGAAGCCATTTGTCTGGAGCAATGCAATGCTCCTAGCAGTGCCTACCCACTGGTGTCCGGCTGCAAACATAGAGTGAGTTCTGCCACTGCAGTTAAGACTTACAGTAGGGGAAAGGAAGATGAAAGTGGGAAATAAGAGTAAGAAAATTACCATTAAAAAGCTAAAAATAGAAGAATCAATGTGGGAGGAACAGGACTGAAAGAATACTTTGAACTTCAAGGTCAAGAAAATTAAATATATTTCTTTTTGATTGACCATGCTTTTCAGTCAAAACGTCAGCCAAATACGGAATGGGTGTACTTGCAGGGAGAGAAGCGCCAAGTCATTCAGAAGCACAAATCACCCCAAAAGCTACTGTATGTGCTCATAAATCCTCAGTCTGCCTGTTCGAGGCAGTTCCTTACACACAGATACATATTTGTGTAAGTCTATACACTGCAAATTACTGTAGCTCCAGATATAAGAATGAGCAGTATTTTAAAACTTGTGTTAATAGCTCTGCTATCAGAAACACAGCCCTGAAACCCCRAAACACGAGCTGATTCCAGCAAAGGATATTAAAGTGGAAGAGGTGGTCTTGTAATTCCCCGAAATGCTTATGTAAATAAAAGCTGAAAATAGAAGGAAATGTATTTCAAGGTTCTTGATATGCTTAAGACATAATGCCTTCAAATTAATATTCTGGAAGCTAATTTTAGTGACTTATGTTTTCAAATATGTAAATACGTGAGCAAAAGCAGAAAAGAAGTGTAACTCACCTCTGCCAGCAGTTGTTTCACCCAACACCACGTGAGCAACCCCCTCCACACATATATTAGGCAAAGAGTATGATTAACAAATCAATTATCTTTGATTAAAGCAACAAAAGAAAAAAATAAACGTACCTTCGGTCACCCCAATGTCAATAGTTCCTTTCACTTGACTAAAGCACCACAGCACATCCTGCATGAGGTTCCCCAATCCTGCCAGAAGAACACATGCGGAGAGAAGRCACGCTCACCCTTCTGCACAGCTAGCCCGTCGTGGAGCACACACACACACACACAGGCATGTGCAAAGTGGCACACCAGCACCTGCTGTCCCTGCACGGAGGGAGATGTTTGCTCACCTGGTATCATTCTTCCACAGAGAGTGCACAGCTAGCACTGCAAATCTGCAAGCATGACGCCCGTGCTATGAATCGCCCGTCTGTCTGTTCTCTGTACCATGGCAGGGCTATTTCCAAGCCGGCGCAATTGGAGTCAGTCCCCTCCACATCACTGGCAGCACCACGCCAGAGTCAGGAGGCCCTGTAGTCACGGGCTTTTTCACAGCCTCTCCTCCTCAGAATACTAATGCTCCGAATCATTCCCGTCATCCAAGCAGAGACACAAAGAGTTACAACAACAACAACAACAACAACATTCTTCCCACATTATGGCCAGCGTGGTTGTGAACTGCTTGGCAATGGTCTGCAGCAGAATAAAACTGCAGCACAACAGCACTATCAACATTTTCCTGGAATCTGAAGTGCATGGTATGTGTTTTAAAAGAATACTACAGGCATTTCTATTATTAGGCATATTTAGTAAACTGCATCTCTSTAAACTGTTCTTGCTGCTCTAGCGATACTTTCTGTCAAGACACTGAGAGAAACTGGGATTTTAACTACTKCTGCTCATTTTCTTGACAGCTCAGCAATTTTTTCCTTTCTGTAATGCAGGCTTCACTGTAGCACAAAAAATACAGCGCCTCAAAGGACAACCTTCTTCCTTTTAACATGTATTTTATCTCAAAGCACTTTTCAAACATGGAAAAAGCAGCACAATGGAGTTACGAGAGAAGGAAATACCCTTTTACACAMAGGTGAAATGTGGCACAGAAAAGTCAAGTGTTTCACAGCGCGGAAGCATGATCTTAAACTCAATCAGGAGATCATGCTATTTTCAAACTCCTTTTTTTTCTTACGAAAGAAAAACATGGGATTGATAAACAGATAACATGGAGATAGAACTGAGCTAAGCAAACTAACTCGTAGCCTAGCCATGTCCTTGTGAGATTTCAGCCCCAACAGAACTATGCTGAGGAAATAACTTGTTCAACTTTTACAGCCAAAGAAAGAGAAATCCAGGCATGGTTTAATCAAAACTTACATTTAATTTGATCTTCCCATTTTCTCTCACACAGATATGCTTTAGACAACTATCTGTCCATGCATCCATCTGGGTGCTGCTCTGACTTTCCATTTGTTTGTTGTCTTTTGTTTTTTTTTTTTAATTCTATGAAAGCATTAAAATTGAAAATGATGCAAAGATTTGGAAATGCAAAATGAGGGAGGAAATCATAATTTCTTATAACATTTCAAAAGTGCTTTTCCTTATATCATGGCCTTTTTGGCATATTAATACAAGTCAATATATATAAACAGTAAAATAATAATATACATTATAACAGTACATTGAAACTGTAGAATAACTTTTGTCAGAAGATTCAAGCCAAATACAGTGGAAAATGGAGTTTTAAGAGAAATGGAAAAATCTGGAATCCGAAGGTATGAATTAGCCTCATAAGATTCTGAAAAAATATTAACTTTATTTAAATTCATATTTTAACATGACCAAGCAATACACAGAACCATAAAAATGTCATAAAGATGTGAAAAAAATACAAACTTACTAAAAAATGAAACAAAACCTTAATGTTATTGCATAAACTTTAATGCCTCATAAATTCTTCTAACATATTTCAAAAGCAAGTTCATAAGCAACATGCAGGTTGAGAGGAGCAATATCATTATCTCCTTTCCAGAAAACTCTTTTGTGTGGTTATTTACATCCTTTCAGAAAAAAAAGAAAATAATCATCTCCCTGAAAAACTGATTTATGACTTAAAATTCTTCCTCCTATCCTGAAAGTCCAATCAGATCTAACAAGTTTCTGAGAAATGGTATTTTTGTCATTTTCAGTGTTTTCCTATATGCAAGAAGTGACCTGGGAAGGAGCACAGAGACAGTTTGAAACCCTGGGAGGGACAGACCCTGTTTTTGTGGCTGGCTGTTTGCCCAGCTATGGACAGCTGTAATTCAGCATTGTTTGCAGTTCTTGGTTAAGAAAAGCTACACTTGTTTTCCTGAGCATCAGATGAGGCTTTTTCTTCCTGAAACACACACACACACACACACACACACAAAAAGGAGTTTTTAGAGGAATTATTTATAACTCTCAACTTTAACAGCCCACAAAACGGCACCTTTGCCATTGTATGCGCTATAGTAAATGGCTGGGCTGGTATGAATTAAACTAGCCTCCTGCCCATCCACTGTGTAAAGAAGCAGCTGTTTTTTTTAATAAAAAGTCTTTAAGAATAGTTTTAATTTAGATAACAAAGGCAGATAACAAACATGTTTCTGCTTGATTTTTAATCAGCCTTTTAATAGATTTCTACTAGTCATGGCTAAGGCGGTGCTGGTAATGGGTAAGGTACATGGTAAAGGGATGAAAGACCTAGGTCCATACTCAAACTTAGATTTTGGTCTAAGTCCGTCTGGGACCAAAACTTAGACTTTGGTCCATCGCCATGGGGGCGATCGCGGGAACGCCCCGCGCCCATCGCAGCACGTGCCGCGCATGCGCCCTGCCGCGCACCGGAACACGTGCGGCGCACGCGCCCTCTCCGCGCCGCGCRCGTGCCCTGCCGCGCACGTGCCCTATCGCGCCGCGCACGTGCCGCGCCGCGCATGCGCACTCCCTGGCGCGGGAGCGCGGCGGGAAGGCGGCGGCGGCTCCTCCTCCTCGGCTGAGGCGGAGATGAGGCGGCTCCTGGCCTGGCCGGGAACGGGCATTGGGAGTGCGGGTCACTGCTGCCCGGCTCAGCCGGCCCTGCAGGGAGGCCTGCTCAGGGCGAGCGTGCGCCTCACTGCGAACCACCGGTGTCCCTGAGGTGTCAGGAGGGCGCTCTCTTCCTGGGAGATTCGTCAAGGAATGAGTAAGGGTTCRCACTTAGGGTTTGGGGCTTTTAACTTAAGTTCTCAGCAGGCATTCTGTATTTTGAGGGTGAACTCATTTCACCTGAGAAACACTGAAGAAAGTCTCCTGTTTAAATCAGAAGCTGCAAGATCTGCTACATGTTTCCACACTTACTGAAGCATGAAAGGAAAATGGATTTCAAAACTGCAGAGCTTTCTGCTAGGAACACAGAAGGCCTTTCAGCTAGCCCTGTTCTTGAGTGGTGGTTATTGCACATGGTAAGTGCCTGTGTGCACAAAGGCTGCCCGGGTCTTGGCTGGCTTGTCCGTGTGGCTGGGGCAGCCCCCTGGCCGTGACTCTGCTTTGACCATCAGAGCAGGGCGTGTGGCCTGCAGGGAGAACCCAGCACCAGGCTGCTTCACCACAGTTAAAATTACTCATTAGGGTAATGAAAAATACAGTGCTAAAATAACTTACTTCTGCAAATGACATTTTTTTTTTCCAGATTCCAAGGAGATGACTTTTTCTAGTACAATGTACTTCCCTGGCTTGTGTCTCCTCGACTTCTCCCTGAACAATAGGAGGGAGCACACTTGAGCAGGTGAGTTCATATAAGTCAACAGCTGTTGGAGCAGACTTTTCTCTCCAGAGATTTGAAGTGCAGATTATAGAATCTGGAAAGAAAATATGTAATTAAGGCCATCTGAGGCAAGGATATTTTTAAATGTGAAATTTTATGTATATTGTCAGAGAAATAATGAGATCTCTCATTCTCTAACAAAAGCAATAAGCAAATACTTGTTTGAAAAAATGTGGGAAGGTTTAATTTGTTATTATTGCCTTACTATTCTAGACTTTTTTTGTTATTTATTGCTTAGCCATTACAGGACTGTAAACCTTAGACTCTTAATTTATTTTGACTATTTTGAAGAATTCACATGACAGTTTTTCCATGTCTTACAAGCATTTTTCAGACACAGAGGCTGATGATGTTCATTCAGGAGTTTTCAGCAATGGAGATGGAAAGTTGGACATCTGAACTCTTCACAAAGTACTAAGCACCTACAAAAAGCAAGCTTTTTATAAAGGTAGGGACAAGTGGTTATGCAAGCTATTGCTTTCAGCTGAAACCTGAGTATCTTGTGAGACTCTGAGATTCAGAGAAAAATTATCTAGAGTTGATATCCCTTCATAATACCCAAGTCCTGGGGTATTGCCTTGTGTCTTTTCTAGCAGTTGAATCCAAACAAATGTGCTAAAAGTGGCCCCAATAATAGATTGAGGATCTTCTTTGCATTCAGATGGCCTTTGTGTAAGCCTGCTAGGAATTTGCTCTGGGCCTACAAGTATACCAGCAAAGCCTTTTAAATCATTCTCAGAAACGACTTTCTTAATTTGTCTTAAGAATTGTCTTTAGAAAAATTGAATTTTATGGTGCACCTCTGACACCTGGTCATGCATGGATGATGTGTGCTGGAGAGGCCATGGCAGTCCCTGAGTCTTCTGCCAGATACAGTATTTGAATCTATCTAGGCATTCATGACCCCAGGAGAATGGTTTTGGAGGTCCTTATCAGACCTTCTGACAGCAGCTCACCATAGTTTATGTCTGACTTTGAACCATGAAAGTGAGGTTTGTATAAAAGGAAATAAGCTCAAGGGAAAGCTGGGTTTGTGAGGGAAAGGTGAAGGGAGGATGAAATATTTGAATACCTATAGGAAATAGAATAAAAGCTTTCTGAAATGCCTGTTAGTGATCTTTCTGGAGCTTTCAGAAGAGTGAAAATGAGTCTCAAACATGCTGTGCAATTTGCAGAATCTTGGCCAATTTGCTTTCATAAACATCTGTCTTTATTAAAATTTTGGCCCAGCAGTCTTGGACAGGATTTATTCTTGTTCTCACTGCTGTGGCTTACATGTTAACACCTTGCGGTCATTTACTCTTGCTTTGTGCTTGTAGTGCTGAGAGCAGCATAAGGGTTTCTGTGCCCTTGGCTCCTCCAGAGAAAAGCTTGACTTACAGGAGAGAGAAAGAGAGAAAAAAAAAAAAAACAGATTGGGAAAAATGGCCTATAGTAACTGAGTCCCCATTTTCTATGTGGCAGAGGGTTTAGATATTTGAGTTAAAAGATACTGTTGTATTTTTTAAGCCTTATTGCTGATCTTATTTGAGCAAATTCCCTCTGAGCCGTTTAGAGTTTGTAGTTTTGCCATTATCTGTAAATCTTCTTTTCTTTTAAAATGCCAATTCTTGCGAAGATAGGATTTCACTAATGAAGTACATGTCTTGTGATTTTTCATGTATAAAAAGCTTGCCTACAAGCTTGGTCTCTCTCTGCATGYAAATTAAATGCCTTTTTATTCTAAGGAGTCGAAAAACTCTTTAAAAATCAAATATGCCTGAGGAAAGACTGCACACAGCTACTGATTATTTTTATGTCTGCTGTTAACTGCATTGCATTCAGATCTGGAAATAAATGAGTCATGAATGTTGTATGTCAGTGGAAGACCATTTATTTGAGTTGCATATGACAGTTTGTATTAATGTTGATGGTTTGGGTGATGAACACAAAAAGAGATTATTTAACAGTGTGTGTGAGGTCGTGATATGTAGTATTTAAAAGGCCTGGGAGGTTCCCTGACTTAAACTTCTCAGCCCACCTGTTAACATATCATGTGACCGTAAAATAGCATTAATGTATGTGATCAGTTATTTCTCAGAGTAATAGTTAGCATTCCAGGTCTTGAATTAGAGCTATTACACAAACACTGTGTAGTTTTGTACACAAACCTATTCATGAAGCATTCATTTCTTCAGAAGTTAACTTAGAATTTTTTTAAAGCTTACATTTCTTTGCTAGAATTTTTCCCTCTTGTTTTTCTCAAATTAACTATTATGTAAAAAAAATTGAAAAAAACTCAAGCAAATGAAGCTCAGATGGTGATCACTGTGGCAAATGAAGAGTAAATTGAAGTGGATTTCTTTCTGTTTTCTGGCAGAGATAGATATGACTCTTATTAACCCCAGAATGAGTATAAGTGGCCACTATAGAGTTGGAATAGAATGCTTAGAGTATACCCTCACATGTTAGGAAGATCAAAGTCAAGGAAAATCCCTTTGTATTTGGAGTACAAGCCAGTTAAGTGTGAAAGGGATAGGGAGACTTTTTTTGGCTGAGAACAATGAACTTTTTTTAAGGATAGACATGTAGTTGGGAGGATTGGAAGAGAACTGACCTTCCACTTACCATGATAWTGTGTTCCTTTCTCAGCTTCTCACTCCACTTCTTAGGTGGTTCTTGTGATGCCTTCAGTAACTGTGAGTGCAATAACAGGCGAGATAGCTGAACTGGAAGGAAAATAGATAGAACAGTGTTGGTGCTGATAGAGGTTGATTCCCCTTGTTCTTTGAGTAAATTTTGCAGCTGGTCTTCCAGAAGTCCTGATACCTGATCTAGTTAGTTTTAAATTGCAGTTGTTGACATGGTATAAACACTGCAGTATAAAGGAAATCTATTTAGTAGAGGATAGTGAGTAGACCCTGGCTTAAATGCCATTCATATTCAGTGCAATATTCCAGTAATCCACAAATGGGAAGCTGTTGACAACAGGTTGAAAATAATAGAGGAACAGATTTGTGAGTAACAGAGGAGATTTGAGAGTAATCAGAGACATGTATGTTTGTTTGTTTTTTTCAACCGAAAGCTTTACAGTTGCCATCTTGAATCTTTCAGATAAAGAGAAAAGCTTGGTGAACGCTATTCTATTGTATGTCTGTGCAGACTACTGCCATGTAGCAAATACTTCAAAAGCTGCTGCTAGCAAAGCTCTAACTAAGTGAGATAAATTCTGTTCACACACACAAAAAAAATCTAATCTGTGTCCTGCAGCCAGAGAGCTGATCTGCTTTAGGGTACTTAAGTCCTTGTGCTTGCTTTGTGCATTCAGTTAGTCTGGAGTAGGAAGTAGGAGAACTGAGATAATACTGTTGCACAGATGCGGCCTGAAAAGCAAGTTCAGCAGCATTCTTCTGCAAATTTCAAGTCTTTCTGCAAAAGGACTGGGGAGAGAACTGCAGTACACATTTCATTAGAATCCAGATAAATTGATATTTTTTTCTTCCATTAGCTTTTTCACTGTGAATTAAAGTAGGAGAAATTTGGATGTGAGGGAGTCTGACTGTTGTTTCATGGTGAAAAGGTCAGTACCAGGAAACATGTTTCTGTGCTCTAGTTCTTGAAGTTCTGACTGACGAAAAGAATGAGTGCTGTATGTATTTGATATCCAATTATAATGGCTGTTGGACTTTTTTTTTTTTTTGTCTTTCTGCCCTACCTGTCCCAAGCTGCTGAGCAGTCTGCTAAGAACATTAATGCTGAAGAGCTTGTTCTGTCACAGTGGGATCTCTCACATGGGAGCAGTTTAGGGATGCTAAATTGGATTTTACTTTTACTGGAGAGTCAGCTGGAAGATGTGATGGTATCAAAGTATCATGCAGGAGTACTGCAGAAGTACCATTTGAGGATAAGTAGAGATGGCTCTGTAGGAAACTGAATGCAAGATCAGAAGGGAGTTYGGAAGGAAAGGTTTCAGGACAGAGTACCCCAAGTTTGTGGAGGACAGCAATACTTAGGCAGGTGCTCTGCACCTGTGAAAGAGTCTAGCTCCAGTGGGGTGTCTTTGCTCTATGTTCTCCAACCGAAGAGTGCAGGAGGAACATTAAGATAGATTCGCTTTTGGCATTACTTTTTTCTGTCAAAAATATCTTCATGTGCAAGGATTAACTTTATCTCTTTTATGTCTTCAGAGACTAACATGATTGTGGATACAGGTGGCTCRTTTCCTTTGTACGAGAGAGTGCTGCCTCTGGTGTTGGTTTCTGTGTCTGTGGTGTGTGTGTTAGAGTGTTCAGCAGGCCTGTTTGGAAGGTATTGGAAATATCTGTGTCTTGTTTCAGACATATGCTCGCTGTGCTTTTATTGTGAAGCAAAACATACGGGCAAATAATATGGTGGATTGTCTAGTGAATTCAAGCCTCTCCATTTCAAAAACTGCTGTCTCCATGATGGTGCAACTTTGTTCTGGCCAAAGTTTAGAACTAGCTGAAGCTCCAGCTGAAGCTCCAGCTCATAGTTTTGCCTAGCTTTTTTTGTGTATTTTATCTGTACCGTGAATTAAATAGATTCACATTTTAAAGCAGAATGTCTACATCTATGTCTTAAGATTTCTACTTGCCTTCATGTATCCCCTTATTCTGTCTGGGTTCTCAGGATTACCTTCAGTCTTTAGTGATATTTAATGCTAATTTATTTGAACAGACTTTTGGATATTAAGAGATACCAGAGCCAGTGTGTGTAGTTTGAGCAAAGTGAGGGACTTCTGGCAATTTCTTGATTTTGTTCCACACGTCAGCAGTCTATGAGGGACAAGCAGCTACTCATAAAATGAGCTGCAATTCTGTCTGGATCCAGGCAGTTTCTTATATGATTTCCTAATTCTATAGCCTGCCTGCCTCTTCCTGAATATGCATTTTGCCTGAGGAGTGTTTGGGCACATTCCCAAGATAGCAAGCTGTAGGCTAGATAAATTGGCCTAAATTGGTTTAGTTCATGGAGGTCAGAAGAGCTGTGTCAATTACAGCAGCAGAGCATCTTTCTTCTTCCCTTCTTGGTGCCTGTTTTGATTAGCAGTTGCTGTGCAAGGGAAGATTTGGGGAAAATGGACCAATAAGCAGTTTTTATTGTCTTAGGAATTAGTTTTGAAAAAAGAGTTTTTTCCATTTTATCGTGTTCATCCACTTACTGAAATTCATCTGCTGTTCCGTTCGCTGCACTCTTGTGTTATAGGGTTTGCCTCTTGAAGAGAAACTACTGAAATAACAGTTGTATGAAATACCCAAGTCACTGCAAAAATAGCTAATTGGCTTGAGCGGTGGGGCATTGTACAATGCCTTGTGGGCACTGTAGTAGAAAAGCTGTACTTGAAAGGGCTCTAAATTAGTCCAGCTGTTAGTGCTTTTTAGATTCAGACTGCAAAAATGCAGTAAGATAAAGGTATTCAAGTTTTTTGTATGTTTCACCCGAAGATCT